CTAGAACAGAACTAGAACAGAACTAGAACAGAACTAGAACAGAACTAGAACAGAACTAGAACAGAACTAGAACAGAACTAGAACAGAACTAGAACAGAACTAGAACAGAACTAGAACGAACTAGAACAGAACTAGAACAGAACTAGAACAGAACTAGAACGAACTAGAACAGAAACTAGAACAGAACTAGAACAGAACTAGACAGAACTAGAACAGAACTAGAACAGAACTAGAACAGAACTAGAATAGAACTAGAACGACCTAGAACAGAACTAGAACAGAACTAGAAGAACTAGAACAGAACTAGAACAGAACTAGAACAGAACTAGAACAGAACTAGAACAGAACTAGAACAGAACAGAACTAGAACAGAACTAGAACAGAACTAGAACAGAAACTAGACAGAACTAGAACAGAACTAGAACAGAACTAGAACAGAACTAGAACAGAACTAGAACAGAACTAGAACGAACTAGATCAGAACCAGAACAGAACTAAAACAGAATTAGAACAGAACTAAAACATAACTAGATCCGAACTGAGCTGAACTAGAACAGAACTAGAACAGAACTAGAATAGAACTAGAACAGAACTAGAACAGAACTAGAACAGAACTAGAACAGAACTAGAACAGAACTAGAACAGAACTAGAACAGAACTAGAACAGAACTAGAACAGAACAGAACTAGAACAGAACTAGAACAGAACTAGAACAGAACTAGAACAGAACTAGAACAGAACTAGAATAGAACTAGAACAGAACTAGAACAGAACTAGAACAGAACTAGAACAGAACTAGAACAGAACTAGAACATAACTAGAACATAACTAGAACAGAACTAGAACAGAACTAGAACAGAACTAGAACAGAACTAGAACAGAACTAGAAAGAACTAGAACAGAACTAGAACAGAACTAGAACAGAACTAGAACAGAACTAGAACAGAACTAGAACAGAACTAGAACAGAACTAGAACAGAACTAGAACAGAACTAGAACAGAACTAGAACAGAACTAGAACAGAACTAGAACAGAACTAGAACAGAACTAGAACAGAACTAGAACAGAACTAGAACAGAACTAGAACATAACTAGAACAGAACTAGAACAGAACTAGAACAGAACTAGAACAGAACTAGAACAGAACTAAAACAGAATTAGAACAGAACTAAAACATAACTAGATCCGAACTGAGCTGAACTAGTTAAGGCTAGCTAGAGTGACAAGTATTACTAAAATCCAGTATCCATCCCTGTGTTTACATTTTTAGCTTCCTTGCTTTTTCGTTTGCAATTTTCAAATGCAATTCATTTAGTTGTCAAACGAACCTCCAAAAGAATGTATAATCGTCTGTGAGATATAGAAATAAAATTAATAATTTATTAATTAAAAGTGTTGAAAGGCTATATATTTAATAACAAGTAAAATGCCAAAGTGTTCCTAATAATAATTCTAAAAAAAAGTAATAATTTTGCTATAAAATAAAAGAAAAAAGTGTTTAACAAAATCGAGGCGGCCGCATGTTGTGTTAAATGTTTTTAAGTTTTTATTATTGTTGCAATTGTTGTTTGTTGAAATAAATATGCCTTAATGTTTTTGAAATTGTAATTAAATAATTAAATTAGCATTTGTTGCTTAATAATAATAAAAAAGTGTTTAACAAAAATTTGCAGACCACATGATAATTTTTCATTTATTTATTAGTTGTTGTTGCTTGAAAAAAAAAGAAGTAGTAAAGTAGTTGGCGCCACTAAAACAGCAAGTGCAAAGAAAGAGTAAAAAAATAAAATGACAAAGTAAAACAAACTTGACATGAGCAAATGTATTGAAGTAAGGTTTGTTTTTGCAGATGCGTGTTGTTGTTTTGGGTTTAGTAAAGATAATAAAATAATGTTAATCTTAACAGTAACATTATTTCGTTAACAGTATGTTGTTTTGTTTATTTACATTATACAAAAGTAAACAAACCTGATTTTCAATAAGATTTTACGTTTTTGTGTGTTTTGTGTTTAATAAACAGACTATTGTTGATATTAACATTAACTTTATTTATTTATAACATTGTCTTGTACTTAATATTATTCTGCTGATAATGTTTGCTGATTTAACATTTCTATAGAGCTGTCATCGTTTATTTACTATATTTGATTTGGAATATTAAGGTAAGATGTTACAATTTTACATTAAATTTACAATAAATGAAAGAAAAAAGTAGTTCAGTAGTAGAAATGTATTAGAACTAAACTAGTAGGTACCTAGAGCAAAACTGAAGTTAATTAGATCCGAATTTTTTCTTTGCACTTAAAGAAAAACCATCATAAAAACACATTTAAATTTTATTTTTATATTATTTTTTATTGTGTTTTATTTTCAAATAATTTTCTTTTCAACCAAACATATTTATCATAGTTTTTTCTTCTTCTATGTAAATTAAATTTTATTTTCATTTATAGTTTGTTTATTTATTAATTTAATAATATAACATAATCATTATTAGTTACATTTATATGTATAATCATATTTATGTTTTTCTTTATTGTGTATTTATGTATTTTTTTTAATTTTATTATTTATTTTATATTTTTATTTTTTCTAAAAAAAAACGCGCACATTTACTACTTAAATAGACAATTATATAAATATATGTATGTTTTGTTATATGTATGTCAATTTATTTTTATTTATATATAATTTTTATTTGAAAATTATTTTTTAAATGTAACAATGCTTTATTTTTTTCTATATTTCATTTTTTAATGTATTTTTGTTTTGGGGAGAGTTAGGGTGGAGTAAGGAGGCTGGTAATTTTGTTAAACAGCAAATTTTCTTTTGTCATTTTTAGTTTTTATTTCGATTTTGGCATTTAAGTGGATTTGTTAAAGTAAATTATTACGCAAAATAAGTTAAATGTTTATTTTTGTTTTTTTTTTTATTTTAAATTTATTTACTTTTAACTTTTATTGAACAACTAAGTGTGTGTTTAATTAATGAGTGTATTGTTTTTTTTTTTTATAAAATCGTTGAATAATACTAATTATTTATTAATATTATTATGTCATTTCTTCTTAAGTTTTTTTAGATTAAAAGAAAGGTTAATTTTAAAATTAGTAGTTAAAAGTAATGCAAAACATATAAACGATATGAAAAAATTAAAAACTAATTAAATATATGTGTTAACATAAATCTGCTATAGAGGAATGATAACAAATTCTAAAGCAAATATTTTGCTCAGTGTATCCATTGTAACATAACTAAACAATCTGGAAACACAGAAACAATTGAGAAGCTAGAACTAGAACAGAATTAGAACTGAACTGAAACTGAACTAGAACTGAACTAGAACTGAACTAGAACTGAACTAGAACTGAACTAGAACTGAACTAGAATTGAACTAGAACTGAACTAGAACTGAACTAGAACTGTACTAGAACTGAACTAGAACTGAACTAGAATTGAACCAGAACTGAACTAGAACTGAACTAGAACTGAACTAGAACTGAACTAGAACTGAACTAGAACTGAACTAGAATTGAACTAGAACTGAACTAGAACTGAACTAGAACTGAACTAGAACTGAACTGAAACTGAACTAGAACTGAACTAGAACTGAACTAGAATTGAACTAGAACTGAACTAGAACTGAACTAGAACTGAACTAGAACTGAACTAGAACTGAACTAGAATTGAACCAGAACTGAACTAGAACTGAACTAGAACTGAACTAGAACTGAACTAGAACTGAACTAGAACTGAACTAGAACAGAACTAGAACAGAACTAGAACAGAACTAGAACAGAACTAGAACAGAACTAGAACAGAACTAGAACTGAACTAGAACTGAACTAGAACTGGACTAGAACTGAACTAGAACTGAACTAGAACTGAACTAGAACTGAACTAGAACTGAACTAGAACTGAACTAGAACTGAACTAGAACTGAACTAGAACTGAACTAGAACTGAACTAGAACAGAACTGGAACAGAACTAGAACAGAATTAGAACAGAATTAGAACAGAACTGGAACAGAACTAGAACTGAACTAGAACTGAACTAGAACTGAACTAGAACTGAACTAGAACTGAACTAGAACTGAACTAGAACTGAACTAGAACTGAACTAGAACTGAACTAGAACTGAACTAAAACTGAACTAGAACTGAACTAGAACTGAACTAGAACTGAACTAGAACTGAACTAGAACTGAACTAGAACTGAACTAGAACTGAACTAGAACTGAACTAGAACTGAACTAGTACTGAACTAGAACTAGATCAGTATTATGATTCCCCTTTTATGTATTTTTTTTAATTAAAGCTTAACTAATTACTAATGTAAATAATACAAATAATACTTAAGAATAAACTAAATTAAAATATATATTTTTGGAAAATATTAAATAATCTTTATAATTTTTTTTGTTTGAATTATAACCTGAGTTATCAATACATTTATATATTATAATAATGCTTTTGGTTTTTGCAACATTTATTATTATTTATGACGTTTATAATACAATTATTTTTCTGACAGTTTTGTAAATACCAATTGTTCTATATTTTTTTAAATGTTTATTAATTTTTTTGCAATAATTAACAAAGTTTTATAAAAACCTTGTTAGTTACTTTTTTTTATTTATTTATGTATAAATAAGTATTGTATAGTATGTATGTATATTTTAACAAATTTTTAATTTTTATTGTTTCAATTCTTTTTTTAAATATATTTGGTTTTTTAATACTTATTAAAATACAAAAGTTTTCTTTTGGTTTTTTTTGTTTAAATTCTCATCTAAAGCTGAAGCAAATTTTTGTTTTCAGTGTATAATTTTATATCCAAACAAAGCCTTTATTTCATGTTTTCTTTTTTTGTTTTGCTTGTTGTTGTGGTTTTTTATTTAAACTTACAATTTTAGGTGTGTGTTTTTTGTTGTTGTATATATAATAGTAAATTTATCTTTTTTTTTCTAAATTTTTGTTTAATAATATGTATGTTTTATTACAGTTTTATTGTGTGAGTTTGTTAATGTTTTAATGTTTTTTGTTTTTGTTTTAAATATGTATCATTTCGGTGTATGTTTTGTATTGTTCAAGTTTACAATGTTTTATTTGTTGTTCTTTACCTTGAGCGACAGATTTAGTTCAAAATTTGCAAAAATATTTTATGTATTTTTCAGGGAAATATCAACAGTGAGTAGTAAGTAGTATGTCAAGTGAACTACAAAAATCTAAGGAATATTTTCTATGTTTTTAGGGTGTTTTAAATGATATCTAATAGGTGGGCTGTTGATAATCCATATTGGGTTGTTGCTCCATGCCTACAAATATAAATTGTTAACCAGATTTAAGATAAAATGTCTAATTTGTTTATCATAAAGTCTATTCACCTGTTTGCTGAGCTGTGAAGGGTGAAGCACTATATTGATCATTATCATTGTCCACGGAATAGCTATTGTAGGCCTGTTGATGCACAACATTGGCAGGATCATTTTCAAAGGCTGAGGTAAATTCATCGCCTGCACCAATTAAGAAACGTTTATAAGCCAAGAAAGCACATAAAGCCTGGAAAAAGGAGGCAGAAAACCAATAAAAGATGTAGAGTTGAATTAGACAGAACTAAAACAGAACTAGAACAGAACTAGAACAGAACTAAAACAGAACTAGAATAGAACTAGAACAGAACTAGAACAGAACTAGAACAGAACTAGAACAGAACTAGAACAGAACTAGAACAGAATTAGAACAGAACTAGAACAGAACTAGAACAGAACTAGAACAGAACTAGAACAAAACTAGAACAGAACTAGAACAGAACTAGAACAGAACTAGAACAGAACAGAACAGAACTTGAACAGAACTAGAACAGAACTAGAACAGAACTAGAACAGAACTAGAACAGAACTAGAACAGAACTAGAACAGAACTAGAACAGAACTAGAACAGAACTAGAACAGAACTAGAACAGAACTAGAACAGAACTAGAACAGAACTAGAACAGAACTAGAACAGAACTAGAACAGAACTAGAACAGAACTAGAACAGAACTAGAACAGAACTAGAACAGAACTAGAACAGAACTAGAACAGAACTAGAACAGAACTAGAACAGAACTAGAACAGAACTAGAACAGAACTAGAACAGAACTAGAACAGAACTAGAACAGAACTAGAACAGAACTAGAACAGAACTAGAACAGAACTAGAACAGAACTAGAACAGAACTAGAACAGAACTAGAACAGAACTAGAACAGAACTGGAACAGAACTAGAATAGAATTGGAACAGAACAAAACTAGAACTGAAAAACTTACCCAAGTGAATATGGAAAATAATGAGAAAACAATGGCAGCTTGCATATTACTGGCACCAATGCCACCAGGAGGCATTTCAGCCGAACTCCACTGAGACCAAATATAAATAAAGGCCACAAAATACATGAAGGCCCAAAAGGCTAAAACGTTAAAAAATAAGATTCTATTAATACAATTTACTTAAATTTAGGTTTATTTCCCCGCCTACCTGAAAAACCCATATCAGCCATCACAAAACGTTTCCGACTTTTCACCGATGACATGCGTTCGAATAGAAATTCACCCACTATAAACGCCATGGACGCAAGAAAACCAAAAACGCCCACTGTATTGCCATACTTGCAGGCCATATTGTCATCGTTTAATATGCAAACATCTTTGCCATCTTCTTCGCGATAACCTTCTGACGATATGCAACCGAAGACAACAATGGAGAAAAGCTAAAAATAGACAGAGAAAATAGAATAGAAATGAATAGAACGAAGAACAAATTTTAATTCATGCAAACACATGTAATAGAGACAATTAAAATGTTATTACGTTGTTTTTGTTGGTGGCACTAAATTTGCATTGTTTATAGCATGTTAATTAAGTGGGCCAATGGGGTGGGGAGTTGGGGAGTAATAATAGAGATAGTTTTTTTAAATAATATAAATCAATACGATATAAACAAATAAAAAAGACGTCAATTGCAAATATCTACATAGTTTTTAATAAAAATTTATATTGGAAAATCGCACTATGGGAAGAGTTTTTAGTGGAATATTTTTAATATTTAGACATTATTTTTTAATTTCCAAAATATTTAAGGAAAATTCCAAAAATGGTACAAAAATATTTAAAAATTACAAAATTTAATAATTTTTTGAACAATAGGTCAGAAAATTGTAAAAAATACATATATGTATTACGTGATTCCTAAAATGTTTTTTAAAAAATCCCCAAGTGGGGAACTTTAAATTAAGCTATAAAATTTAAATTTAATTACCACTAAGTTAATTTAAGGAAACATTCTAGGAATTAGTCATTTTTACGGAATTCCTAAAATGTTTGCAGAAAATCCCAAAACGGGGAAGTTCAAACCTCATAAAAAAACATTGAAAATGTCATAGTTTTAACAGTATTCAATAAATAAAACAAAAAATTATGTAAAAATGTTCTTTTTAACAAATTCCTAAAATATTTTTGAAAAATCCCAAAAATGGGGATTTTAATATTTCTTAATATTTTACTTAAAATAGCAAAATTTTACTAGAATTTAAGATAATAATCAAAAAAATTTATAAAAATTTAAATTTTTAACAAATTCCCAGAAAGTTTACCAAAAATCCCAAAAGTGGGGAACTTAAAATCAAAGTATAAATTAAAAATGTTGCTGCTAAAAGAAACTTAGAAGCTAAATTTTGAGATATTTAACTTTTTTGAGATATTCCTAAAATGTTTGAAGGAAATCCCCAACTGGGGATTTTAATATATTATAGAATTTTTTTTTTTAAATACCCCAGTTTTATTAATTATAACTTAATGAATAAAAATTTAGCAAAAAATTTAATTTTAAACAAATTCCTAAAATATTTTCAAAAATTCCCAAAACTGGGGATGTTAATTTTTCAACAAACATTACTTAAAATGACATAATTTTCTAACAATTAAAGAAATTAGGAGAGAACAATGTAAAATTTTGCATTTTTTACAAATTCCCAATAACTCTTAAGAAAATCCCAAAAGTGGGGAAGAAAAATTTTTAACAAAATTTTAAATATTGTTTTATATTTATAGAAATTTAACAATATTGATTATAAAATTTAATGTTTTTGCTCATTTCCTTAATACATATTAATCAAACCTTAAGGGGAAACTTAAAAAACAAAAAGGGGAAATGTAATTTAAAACCCCTAAAGCGCTGCACTTCTTCAAAGTAATATCAAACATTGAAAACTTACTGTTTTTAAGATAAAATGTCCAAGTAAAATTTAGCCTAAGGGAACCAAGTTTAAGACAAAAAACCAACTAAAATAAAAGCTTTATAATTTTCCCCCTTTGACAAATCATTAACATTCATCATACGCCCAGTTGCATAAAATATAAAAAAAAAACTTTTTTTATAAAGACACAAAAAAAAAACAACAAATAATTGACATAATAGAAGAAAAATGTCAAAACAAACTGAAACGAAAACTAGAACAAAAGTGATACTTTTTTTCCAACAAGATGAGATAATAAACTTTACTCATACATAAACAATAACTAAATGTTATAGTATATGTATAACAAAACTAGTATAAGTACTACTAAAACAACTAAACTAAAGTTTTCAATAAACTAAATACTACAAAAAAAAAACTTGCAAAAAACTTGCAAAACATAGCAAACTATAGCAAAATACTTATAGAACTATGTTAGCAGAAATTTCTGTTTATTACTTTGCATAATTAAACAGTCAACATTGTGTAAATTTCAAAAGTTGCATTACTTGTGTAGAAAATTTTTGCTGAAATATTGCAAATACATGTACTTTCAACCTTGTCATTATTGCTTTTTTCTTTCTTTAGATTTTTTCCCCTCCTAAAGGTCAGGGTAACATTTATATAATTGTAGTGCTTGCTATATTTATAAATTTCAGAATATTCTTCTAGTTAGAAATCTAAATGACATTCTAAACAAATGTATATTTTGCCATATTTTCTCTGTTTATATTATTAATTCAATAGTAGTGGTTTTATTATTCGCAAAAACACATTTAGTTTGTGTTAACGTAAATGAATGAATAAAGCAAAAATGTGGAGATTAAAGAGAAAACACGAAATAGATTTTATGATTTTTAAATAGTCTCGACTAGTTGTAGTCTAGTATATAGTCTTGACCATAATCTAGTCTATGGTCTTAACAATAGTCTAGCCTATAGTCTAGTTTTATAGTCTAGTCTATAGTCTATTCTATAGTATAGTTTATAGTCTAGTTATAGTCTAGTTTATACTATAGTTTATAGTCTAGTTTATAGTCTAGTTTACAGTCTAGTCTATAGTTTAGTCTAGAGTTTAGTCTAGAGTTTAGTCTAGAGTTTAGTCTATAGTCTAGTCTATAGTCCAGTCTATAGTCTAGTCTATAGTCTAGGTCTATAGTCTAGTCTATAGTCTAGTCTATAGTCTAGTCTATAGTCTAGTCTATAGTCTATAGTCTAGTCTATAGTAGTCTAGTCTAGTCTATAGTCTAGTCTATAGTCTAGTCTATAGTCTAGTCTATAGTCTAGTCTATAGTCTAGTCTATAGTCTAGTCTATAGTCTAGTCTAGTCTATAGTCTAGTCTAGTCTATAGTCTAGTCTATAGTCTAGTCTATAGTCTAGTCTATAGTCTAGTCTATAGTCTAGTCTATAGTCTAGTCTATAGTCTAGTCTATAGTCTAGTCTATAGTCTAGTCTATAGTCTAGTCTATAGTCTAGTTTATAGTCTAGTCTATAGTCTAGTCTATAGTCTAGTCTATAGTCTAGTCTATAGTCTAGTCTATAGTCTAGTCTATAGTCTATAGTCTAGTCTATAGTCTAGTCTATAGTCTAGTCTATAGTCTAGTCTATAGTCTAGTCTATAGTCTAGTCTATAGTCTAGTCTATAGTCTAGTCTATAGTCTAGTCTATAGTCTAGTCTATAGTCTAGTCTATAGTCTAGTCTATAGTCTAGTCTATAGTCTAGTCTATAGTCTAGTCTATAGTCTAGTCTATAGTCTAGTCTATAGTCTAGTCTATAGACTAGTCTATAGTCTAGTCTATAGTCTAGTCTATAGTCTAGTCTATAGTCTAGTCTACAGTCTAGTCTATAGTCTAGTCTACAGTCTAGTCTATAGTCTAGTCTATAGTCTAGTCTATAGTCTAGTCTATAGTCTAGTCTATAGTCTAGTCTATAGTCTAGTCTAGTCTATAGTCTAGTCTAGTCTATAGTCTAGTCTAGTCTATATAGTCTAGTCTATAGTCTAGTCTATAGTCTAGTCTATAGTCTAGTCTATAGTCTAGTCTATAGTCTAGTCTATAGTCTAGTCTATAGTCTAGTCTATAGTCTAGTCTATAGTCTAGTCTATAGTCTAGTCTATAGTCTAGTCTATAGTCTAGTCTATAGTCTAGTCTATAGTCTAGTCTATAGTCTAGTCTATAGTCTAGTCTATAGTCTAGTCTATATTCTAGTCTATATCTAGTCTATAGTCTAGTCTATAGTCTAGTCTATAGTCTAGTCTATAGTCTAGTCTATAGTCTAGTCTATAGTCTAGTCTATAGTCTAGTCTAGTCTATAGTCTAGTCTATAGTCTAGTCTATAGTCTAGTCTATAGTCTAGTCTATAGTCTAGTCTATAGTCTAGTCTATAGTCTAGTCTATAGTCTAGTCTATAGTCTAGTCTATAGTCTAGTCTATAGTCTAGTCTATAGTCTAGTCTATAGTCTAGTCTATAGTCTAGTCTATAGTCTAGTCTATAGTCTAGTCTATAGTCTAGTCTATAGTCTAGTCTATAGTCTAGTCTATAGTCTAGTCTATAGTCTAGTCTATAGTCTAGTCTATAGTCTAGTCTATAGTCTAGTCTATAGTCTAGTCTATAGTCTAGTCTATAGTCTAGTCTATAGTCTAGTCTATAGTCTAGTCTATAGTCTAGTCTATAGTCTAGTCTATAGTCTAGTCTATAGTCTAGTCTATAGTCTAGTCTATAGTCTAGTCTATAGTCTAGTCTATAGTCTAGTCTATAGTCTAGTCTATAGTCTAGTCTATAGTCTAGTCTATAGTCTAGTCTATAGTCTAGTCTATAGTCTAGTCTATAGTCTAGTCTATAGTCTAGTCTATAGTCTAGTCTATAGTCTAGTCTATAGTCTAGTCTATAGTCTAGTCTATAGTCTAGTCTATAGTCTAGTCTATAGTCTAGTCTATAGTCTAGTCTATAGTCTAGTCTATAGTCTAGTCTATAGTCTAGTCTATAGTCTAGTCTATAGTCTAGTCTATAGTCTAGTCTATAGTCTAGTCTATAGTCTAGTCTATAGTCTAGTCTATAGTCTAGTCTATAGTCTAGTCTATAGTCTAGTCTATAGTCTAGTCTATAGTCTAGTCTATAGTCTAGTCTATAGTCTAGGTCTATAGTCTAGTCTATAGTCTAGTCTATAGTCTAGTCTATAGTCTAGTCTATAGTCTAGTCTATAGTCTAGTCTATAGTCTAGTCTATAGTCTAGTCTATAGTCTAGTCTATAGTCTAGTCTATAGTCTAGTCTATAGTCTAGTCTAATAGTCTAGTCTATAGTCTAGCTATAGTCTAGTCTATAGTCTAGTCTATAGGTCTAGTCTATCGGTCTAGTCTATAGTCTAGTCTATAGTCTAGTCTATAGTCTAGTCTATAGTCTAGTCTATGTCTAGTCTATTAGGTCTAGTCTATAGTCTAGTCTATAGTCTGGTCTATAGTCTAGTCTATAGGTCTA